CTTGAGCAATTACTGAGTCAGTGTAAAGATTCACCAAGTGTGAATCTATTTTTTATTAGAAGTTGATTTAGCTTAAACTCTACTTCCAAAACATACTTCACTCCACTAAGACAAGAGAAGATGTTACAGTCTCATAAATACTGCATGCTCAGGCATCCCTTTGATTTCTCACAGGGAGCCAGGATGCAATAATTGCTCTGCTAAAGCCTGGTGTACACTCTGGATACCAGCTAGGTGAATTCCTCAGACCCAATCCAGCTTTCTCAGGTGCCTTTTCATTCACAGCTTAAACTCCACAAAATAATAGGGCAACAAGTCAGCAGTTGCTTTTCATTCATTTTTTATTATGTTAACCTTGGCATGGGGGGTGGGGGGTGTGCTACCTATGGGAAGAAACCTCAAATTCCTGAGGGGTTCAGGGAAACTGGGGAGAAGGGAAGGAGGGATCAGCTGATTCTTCACTTCAGTGCAGTGGAGAGAGTCTGGGCTTGGAAGAAAGGGCAGGCTGGACCACAGTTCTGCTGTCTCCAGATTTAGCTACACAGAGGTTGACAGGGTATCAAGGACATCGTGTATCTGGACTGACCAGGCCAAGCTCTCAAATACAGGATCTCCCCCTTGTGTCCTAACAAAGGTCATTTTCCTTGAGATGCTATTTTTAACCTGAATTTTAGAAAGAGATTTTTTCCTCAACTCCCTTCACCCCTCTGTGGCCCTGGGAACTCTGATATTCCCAGCACCACAGCAGGAGAGGAGCCTGTTCCTGGCGTCAGATTTCATGGGTGGCTGTAGGGAAGCAGTAAACTGTTCCTGGCAGATAAACCATGAGCAGGGGAGGAGGCTCCTTTCCTTCTTTTTTTTTTCTTAATGCAGTTATTATCTGATCTGTATCCTTTAAATAAATATATGTCCTTGCTTCTACCAACTCTGGAGCTGGTTCGTGATAACTCTTTAATTCCACCCATCCATGCTTAGACAGTAGCCAGCCCAGCAAATGGTACACCTCCAGGTACAGCTCCCAGGGCTCTTGTTAAGACTCATCTGACCTAAATCTCACTCATTATAAACAACCATAAATGTTAGTTTTGTTTATTTTTTTTCCAAACAAGAGAAGTTACGGGAATATGCAATTTTGCTTTTGCCATTTATAACTAACACCCCCCCCAGGGCATTTAATATAAATGACAATGAAAGAAGAATAAAATAAGGTCTGGTTTTGATTTCCTTTTTATTTTTATATGGCTCATCTCTGAGGTTTTGCATTTATTGTTATTATTGTTAGCACATTCTTTTTTTCTTTCCTCAGTCTTTGTTCACAGATTTGTACTTGAAGAGCACATTACCTCACTTTAAAAAATAGGGTTAATAGCTGCCTCTTCTTAGAAAGGCTTGAGATTTCTAAGTATATGTAGATATGTAAAAATTAAAGAACTTGGTGAAACGTGAAAGGCCTGAATCTGTGCTCAATAAATGCTAAGCACTTACCAGTATTAAATGACAAAACTCTTTATTTGGATGCCTTAAGGCTGGGAAGCTATGTTAGCTTCAGGAAACCTTGCTGTGACAATTTTTATAAGCAAGTATCATATACCACCAGCAGATCTCACATTACAGAGTTGCAGCATACGTGTTGTGTACAATCTACAGTGACTGGGGCACTATTAAAAGATGTGCTTATAAAATTATATACCGTATTCATGGTATTTACCCCAAATGAGGGTGCAAAGCAAGGGGCTGGGGTGCTCCTCCGAACTAGTATCTGAAGATCTTTTCGGTGTTGCTTCAAAGCCTGAAGTGATGCACATCTAGACGCAAACAGCGAAGTTTGGTGTCAAGATCCCAAGGAGCGGTTCGGACCGGGATGCCCAGGAGGCAGCAAGACTCCACGGTCTCCCCTCCCTGAAATTCAGCGCGAGAAGCCGCCCACGCCCCCGGGGTGCCCCCTCGTGTCCCCCAGCTCGCAGCAGGCAGCTGAAGGGTCGCTCCCATGGCCAGAGCCCAGTGCCGGGGGCCTGCGGGAGCGCTGCTGCCGCTCCCCCCGCCCGCGACCATCCGAGCACGGCGGGGCGGCGGCTGGGCGGGCTAGGACCCCCCTGGGCACACCCGGGGAGGGGGCGGCCGTGCCTCCTCCCTCCCCCCGGCCCGGAGGGCACCTCGAGGCTCTCCCGCTCCCCGCCCAGCCCAGCCGAGGGGGCGGCAGCACCGACCGCGTCCCGGGCGCGGCACCGCCCGCCCCTCCATCCATCCATCCGACCACCCACCGCCCTTCCGCCGCTGCCTCCCTCCTTCCCGGGAGCAGCCGGTGCGCACCGGGCGGTGGAGCCACCGGGCTTCGGCTCCGCCGGGGGACGCGGGGCGGCCGCGCTTGGCCGCGGCGGGAGGATGCGTGTGCGGGGTTGGCGACCTGGCATCGCGTCGGTGCTTGGATCCTCCCTCCTCCTTCTCCTCCTCCTCCCCTCCCTCCCGCTCCCCGCCTGGCAGCGCGGGGCTGGGGAAGTTGCGCTTCCAAGCGAGATGGCTTCGCAGCGGCGATCGCTTTGAGAAAAGGGCTCCCCCTTCCTCGCCTCCCCCCGTCGCCGCGGCCTCCGAACTGTAAGTGGCAGGAAGGAAGTAAAGTTGCAAACAACCTGCAGCGGCAGGAACTTTGTGAGCTGCTCCAGCTGCATGTGTTCAAGGTGCCTTTGATGTACGTGCAGCAGCTTCTGGAAAGTGGACTGCAGCTTTCCCACCCGCCAGCCCTCCCTCTCCCCCACCCTTCCCAGCCTCCCCTCCCACCACCGCCACTTCAGCCCACACACGCAATTTGTTTGAGAAGGAAAAAAAAAAAAGTGATGAACAAGAAGTGGTGAATTACCCAAGCGACTTTCCTCAAAGAGCGAGCGAGCCGGGGAGAGGAGCCGCGGCGAGCCCCGCGCAGCGCCGGGAGGGACCCGCCGGGCGCCCGCCGGGGACCGCGGGGCTGCCGGGGTGTGAACGCGGCTCCGCAGCGAGATGCAAAAAGCCTTATCTGCTTGCGTTTGACTTGCGATGCCGGCTCCTCACTAGAATGCAAACCCTTGCACAGGATGAAAACAGGTTTGTGGCAAATTCTCCTGGAAATGTTCCGCTCCCTGCCGCCGCCACCTTCCTGTCTGAGATGTCAGAGGAGATCTTAATGATGACACGGTGGCAGATACCTCTGCTGCGTACCCTCTACTGTTCTTTGGAAATGTTCAGGCAGAGGAAAATCTTTTATGCAGCTGCCTTTTCATATCTGTAGCGACTGCTGCACAATCTGCACTTGATTGCAGTTAAAATATTCTCTTTAGGATCCGTTTGACAAAACGATGCAAAATAAACACAGATGGGAGAAGTGGGGGAGAGAAAGCTATAATGAAGTACTGGTGATGGATTGATTTTCCCTTCTTCCCCCCCTCCCCCCAATGCTCTACCCCCAAATGTGAACCTTTTCTGAATGAAAACATTGCTACATCTCTGTTTTAAAGCAAAGATTTCGGGGGCTCTTTGGCTGGGGTTTTGGAGGGAGGCTCCCATCAGTGATGCTTGCCTTTTTGATTGACTTTCTTGAATGTCTGTGGCTATCCAGGCTATCAGCTTTTATCTTGGTTCACTTGTTTTAAAGTATGTCTTATTTCTTCCAACACCTTGCAGGTCATTCTTCCAGAATGCCAGAGGAAAGTTCGCCAAAGCGGAGTCCTCAAAACATCCCATACAAGGACCTGCCCCATATCATCAATGCTGATGGGCAGTATCTCTTCTGCAGGTATTGGAAGCCAGCAGCAACTCCCAGGTGAGCACTTGAAAGCAGATGTCCTTTTTTACTGTCAGTAAATAAGACTCTATTCCTGTAATTATTATTTATAGCTTGACTGACATTACAGGGCTGTCTGCATGGAGCTTTACAGAACCACTGAGAGAGATTTCTCTCATCTGAGAGAGCCTCTACTGTAAAGACCGTATTCTCCAAACGTTTACTTTCTCGAGTCAACCTTACAGATGTAAAAGATGGAGTTGCTGTCATTCCATGCACAGCTGGCTTGGTTGGCAGTTTGTTTTGCTACCGAGTGGCTCTGGCAGGTGGCTGATGCCTGTCAGCAATAAACAACTAAACTAATGGCACAGGCAGTTAGGGAGGGGTGGGATACAGGCTTAGAGATGTCCACTCTTTCTGAGTTTCTCAGTGTCAACATATGAAACATCAGCAGCATCTGACTTTGGTTTCAACAGTAGTAGCCGAAATCTCAGGGCAACAGGCAGAATGTTTGACAGCGTTGTTTTTTGACCGTTGTTTGGTTTGTTTTAAATTATTTATAGTTTGTAAATGATTTAGGAAGCTTTTTCACAGTCAACTGCAATTTCAAAGCTGGCCCATGTAATAAACATGGACGAAGAACCAGACAGAGAAAATTTTCTAATATTTTTGTCATAATTTAAATAATCCCTTTACTGTAATAGCTTTCTGTGCTGATTATGATCTGCTATAGATCTCTGCTACTCCCATAGTTATGATCTTCCAGTATCTGCTGGCTTGGCATGTATTTATGCTGCCACTAGTTATTTATGTAGGTACCTACTTCATAAAAATCTGGATATTGTTTTATTGTTTTCTTTTTCTGTAAGCCAACAGGAAGAACTGTGTTGATTTTATACAGCTAGAAAACAGTCACAGGAAGAAGTTGTTCAAGCTGTTGTAGGGAGTTAAACTTTATCCTTGACCACCCAACAGGTTAGACATCATCCTGTGTCCGAATCTGCAACTGCAACTGCACTGAGAGAGGGATACAGGTCCAAGTTAGCTGGCCTTGGTTTTTATGGCTACAAAACTAGGGGACAATGGGAATAACATAGGGCTGGGTGAGCACCCAGGTAACATAGAGGGTGGACAAGCACTGAAGTACCCTGTCCCCAGAGGGGAGGACAGTGCAGTTACCTCACCACGGCTCCATCACACTGGTTGGGCTGTAGGACAGGGGTCTGGTTTAAGATCACCTGGCCCATTTTAGAGTTTCTGAGTTACTTCTACTCACTGCCTTTCAGAAACAAAGGGGAAAGTTTTTGCCACCGAGGCATTACACAATCTTTGTGCCAACCTGAAGATTTCCTCTACACAAAACAAACGCTATGAAACTAAGCTTCTACTGTGAAACCAGGCTGTCTTGTATTATAATGCCAATTAATCATTAACTACCCATAACCTTCAACATCCAGTTGTGGAATTGCTTTTTTTTGTGTTTAATTTTTTACAAAATTAGTAGTGAGAGGATGAGTCTTTGTTCCAGAAATGAAGGGATGATAAAGAGCTGAGAGTTAAAACTTGGTGTCTAAGTCCTCTGGGTAGTTAATTTTTTTTAGAGTTCTGTGCACCAAGCAGTTAATTGAGAGTGAGCTTGCCCTAGTTTTGCAACAACAGAAGTGGATGGAATCAGTGTTGCTCATTTACAAGTAGTTCCTGAGTGCATGCATGTGTGTGTGTGTTTGCGTGTTTGTGTATAAGGAGGGGGTGTACTGTTTATTATTAGCTCTTCATGCATTGTTATGTATGAGAGAGATGGTAAGTGACTGAATAACAAGTCAGTGCCTGGATCCTACAGTCAAGAATGCCCTTGAAGTGCATTTATAGGCAGACCAAAAATACAATATTTTTCCCCCGTCACTTCTCATAAGAACCTCTGCTTTTCTGCTTCCTGTGTAGAAGCTCAGCAACTTTCATCTAATTTTAAGTGTTCAGCAAAAGTGATCTCTATATATATGTATGGGGAGAGAAAGACACCTCAGGGGACTTTTACAGGCCCGTTACAATTTATTTCAAGCACTGAAGGCAGTTCTTTCAATCTTCTAACTCAATTGTTGATTCAGGTTCAAATCTTAACGCTAATGAATGATGCTATAACGGTCGAACGGTGGGATCTTTCATTGATCCATTATGTGTCTAATCCCGGCTAGGGCTACAGAAATACCTCTTCACTGCAGATGCCCAAAGGTTATCATTGACTTGTCTTCTGTTAGAATAGAACTTACCGTCCTTGATCCCACCCCCAGGGAGGGGGAAAACCCGGGATATCTGCCAAAGGAAAAATTAAAAAGTAGCCCTAGCCCGGGGTCGAAGAGCAGACAATGGCCAGGCAGTCTCTGAAAGTTGGGACAACTGACAGACATCACCCCTTGGAGCTGCTGCTTCTCTTTTATCTCCTTGAACAGCCCCACAAAGGTGGATAAAGGCTGTGGCAGATTAATATGCTGTAGCATATTTAAAAAAAAAAAAAACAAACAACAAAAAACCCCCAAACAAACAAAAAAAAACCCCAAACAACAAACAACTGTTTTTCAGGAAGAGAGGGAAATTTTGTGAGGCTTTATTGCTTCGTACTCACAAATACCCAGGCTCTGATCTTGTGTGGTGTTGATCCGACTGATCAGCCCATACTGGTGCACATATGGAAGCTTTGTTATAAGTGCCACCGAGGCCAAGGTTGTCCTGCCAGTGAAAGGCACCTATTGTGAGTTCCTCAGCAGGGTCCCCTTTGTTTCAGAGGGGGATTTAGGTGATTACTTCACAGGAAGCTGACACATAAAGGCACTCAGATGTCATAATGATTAGATGGGGTAGATAGAGTAGGTAGTAATGGCATTAAGGAAGGAGAAAGACAGTGTTTTCCACTTGTTTTTCGGGTGGGAAGTCACTCCCAACAGCAGAGCTGGAGACTGGGTGTTGTCTTCTCTTGCTGCCTGCTGGCAGCAGTGCAGACGCAGCTTCCCGGTCAGCAGCCCTGCAAGCTGCCCAACTTGTTGAGCCAGTTCCATCTTAAAGTGTAATTAAGTGGTCTTGTTGAATGCAGCAGGGAAGAAAAAGCAGAATGTTCTGGTGTCGTTTCCATGCTTTGTGTCAACAGCAGGATTTGTGGAGAATGAAATCGGGTAACTCTTTGGCACCGAGTGCTTACTACTGAGTGCAACACCAGATTTGGACAAGGCAGGGCATTTTCAGGACTATGTAATGTTTTTTGGAGGAATTAAATCATTTGTACCAAACAGGATTGATCTCATGCCTATACCATGTCCCAGTAGCCAAAGAAACCCTACTCAATGGGAAAGCAGTAATTGCATAAACAGAAACAGCATGCTCCATGCAAGGTTAAAACCTCTGCCACCACCCTGAGAACTCTGAGTCTAAATATGAGGAGGTGAGAAATTGAGGAACCATTCTCTATTCCCAGCTCTCAGACAAAACTGCTAAGAATAGGGGTGGGATGAGGAAGGGGAAGGAAAGTTGGGAGGAGAAGTCAGGATGTTTCCTTTGAGGCCTCTAAAGGGCCTGGAGAGCTCGAGAGATTACCTTCTTTTCCTTTCTGTTCCCTATACCCATAGCTTTTTCTGGATGCTTCCTTCTCCGTTCTTCACTGTTTAGATAAGCATAAATGCTTTCTTCTGGGACACTTTTAGTCCCTCTGCTTGACCTCAGGTAAACCCTGCAAAATTTACTGACCCACAGTAGTTTTTTCCAGAGCTGAGCCAGCTGACCCAGAGCTGCTTATAGCTGCAGCCACCACTGACTTTAGACAGAGTGATGCTGGAGTCTCTCCTGGCAGATCAGCCACTCTAGGTTGGGCAGATGAAGGTTGAGACACTTGTAGTTAGAGGATGTATTTGAAAACGTGAGGTCTAGATACCTGAGCTTCCTCAGCTATCATTGTCTGGCATGGTGCTTGTGTATCTCTCCACATAGTGGTCTCTAGGTGATCATCTCATAGATGATTGCCAGCAACTGAAGTGGTCTGCCTGAAACTGAGACACATGTGGGTCACAGATGCATTCCTGGTCGATTGTTAATGTACACTAGAAAGGGTTGCCTCAACTTTAGGCATCATGACCACAGTTTAAGTAAACAGAGTTGCAATTGTCTGAGTAAACAGTGCCTTTGTAGGAGTTCTTTCATTTTTACACCCAGCAAGTGTGATTAAAAATAGAAAATTAAACAAACAAAAAGCACCCACTTTTCTATTTGCTTTTTACATTTGTTTTCCTCTATGAAAAATGCCTGTCATTCATTCTGACTTGTTAGAAATTAAAGGCCAATCCAATAAGGAGAAAATAAATTTCTCTCTTCCCCAAGGATTTTGCAGATGCGCCTGTGGTGCAGAAATACAAACTGCATTTGTATTTGAACTGGCCCTCAAATTGTAAATATTGCTTGATGGCTTTGGCATCTCATTACCAGCACTTCCACAGCATTTCCAGAAGATCAGCACAGCTCCCAGCAGGAGCAGATGACAAAGTTGAATTTTACTTTCAGACCTTTCCAAAATGAATTAATAAATAAATAAATAAACCAAAGTGAAGTCAAAGCAAAGAGAGTCAAGTCACTGATTATAATATCTTTAATTACAGTGTGTGGTTTTAGTGTCTAGAA